GGTTGTCGATGCGCAGCTGGCGGAAGACCTTGCCAGCTCGCTTGTCCTCCAGGTAGACGCTGCCTGCGCCGCCGCGCAGGGAGGTGTCAGAGCCCGCAGCGCTGCCACCAAAGGCCCAGGTAGCGACCACGGAAAGCAACGGGCGCATCTGGCACGTGGATGGCCAGGCGACCACCACTGCCACCGCCCTGGCGGGCACCCAGGCCGCGACCACCGTTCACGTTGAGGTCACCTGAGCCCGTGATGTGATCGGTGAAGATGAGCAAGCTGCCGCCGCTGCCAGCACCAGACACGCGCGTGGGCACGCTGTCCTGGCCACTGACATCAATGAGGCCGTCAACAACGACATACTCGCTGCTCAGCTTCATCCATCCGCCACCGTAGCCGCCGCTGTTGCCACCGCGAGAACCCGTCTGCGTTGGAAGGTAGAGGTCACCGTACTGCGCACCACCAGCAACGCTCTGACTGCCGCGACCGCCGGGGCTGCCGTGGCCGCCACCAGAAGCCGACGTGCCGTCAAAGCTGCCAGCGCCACGCGGGCTGTCGCCGAGCTGGCGGTCCCCGGAGAGCAGAATGCTTGACTCAGCCTCCACGTCGAGGTACTTGATGGTGGCGTTAACAAAGTCTGTCTCCACCTCAGCACCAAACTTGAGGTCAGCGAAGCCAATTGAGGCAGTCAAGCCCATGGTACTCTGCAGGAACATGCGAGTCTCGGCTTGCAAGTGCAAGGACGCAAGGTCCAACGTGCCTGCAGGGTTCACCCACAAAGTCTCCCACGTTGTGAGGTTGCGAGCGGAGAGCTCGCTGGTGAGGTAGAAGTTGAGGGTGGTGCCACGCGTCATATCGAGGTCGGCAACGTTGGTCACTCGGCCGCGCCAGTCAAAGGCGCGAGTGCCGGCGTACAACAGGTGAGGCGCAAACACCATTTCGCCGCCAGCATCGAGGATGAGGTCCACAAGCGGCTGCACGCGGCGGTCGTGAGGGTCAAAGATCCACGTCTGGTTGGCGAAGCAGTGGATCGTTGTGGTCCTGTCGCCAGTGAGCTTCTCAACGTCAACCATGATGCCCTGCACAGCAGGGTGCACGCGAACAATGCCGGTGCGAACCACCTCGAGCTCAGCAAAGTTGAGATGGTGCACGTCGTGCTGATCAATCTCATGCACTTGCTTGTGGCCATGGTTTGCGTTGTCGATGGTGAGCACGGTTCGCACCGCGCCACCCAGTGCAACATCCTCGACAAACACGGAGCCCGCACCGCCGTGAGCGGCGTCCAGGCCAGCCGTGCCAGTGCCGCCAAGCGCCTGCATGGTGCCTGAATACTGGAGGTCAAAGGCAGCGTGGACGGCAACGCGGCCGCCGCTGCCACCGATGTAGCCGTTGCCACCGTCAGCGCGGATGACACCCGTGCCTCGCAGCTCGTCCCCAACTTCAATCAAGATGGAGCCGCCAGAGCCGCCGCCGCCAGAGCCGCCGCCGCTTGCACCATCAACCGCAAGCACGCCGTCCACGAAGACGTCAATGGCCTGGATGAAGATGTGTCCACCGCCGTTGCCGCCCTGCGAACCGCGGTAGCCCGTCGTCGTGGGCGCGTAGAGCGTGCCAAAGTACGCGGATGGCGTTTGCGCATCAGATGCGACACCGCCGTGTGAGGCGTGGCCAGCACCGCACTGCGAGCAGAGGCCAGGTTGCACCTGAGTCTCAACGCCACTGCAGTCGATCCTCGACCCGCGCTCCAGCACGAGCAGGCCAACGTCCAGCGTCATATGCTCCTGGTGCACGGAGGTGCCCGTGCGGATGTTAAACGCGCCACTGTGAAGTACGAGCGAGAGACCATCAAACGCCGAGAACGTCGACCCAGACAGCAGCTCTAATTCATCGAAGGTCAGCTCGCCAGCCACGTCTTGTCGGCGGTACACTGGGTGGGTAAACGTGGACACAGACTCGTTCAGGCCAGCCTTGATCATGTTTTCGCCAAACAAAACGCTTGCGCTCGCACCAATCGTGAGGCGGTTGGCGTTTGTGAGCTTGCCATTGACATGCAGAGCGTGGCCAATGACAGCGACAGACTGGGGCAAAATCAGCTCGCCACCTTCGTCAACCGTAAAGTCATGGGCCGCCACCAGTCGAGATGTGCTGCGCGGTGTGCTGAAAGCGACCCACATTCTCTGTCCATTCTGAACGAGCAGGTGACCCGTCTTGTCACCACCCAGCTCCACGGCACGGAGGCTGCTGCCCACAAACTCCACGCGGGCGCCACCGAGGATGTCAAGGCGGTCAAACACAAAGTCTGTCGTACCAGTCTGCTCAATCACGGTCGTGGGGGTGTCAGCGTGCGCCGCGCCGTTCTCGTTGTCAACTTGCAGGGACACCTCTGTTGACCCAAGGCGGGCGTTGACAAAGTAGAAGGTGCCTGGCGCGCCAACGTCGTTGCTGCCGTGTCCGCCAGACGTGTACACCTCGCCGGCATACTGCGACAACGTGTCCACGATGACGGCAATGCGGCCGCCAGCACCAGAGCCCGCGGACGAAGCGGAGCCACCGCGAGCAGCGAGGTCGCCCGTGCCCGTGAGTTTTGATGCCTGGATGTAGATGGAACCACCCGCACCAGCGCCGGAAGTGGCGTCCTGTCCAGCCACAGTAATGCTGCCTGCATGGCGCAATTCCAGGCTGCTGACGATGTGCACGAGTCCACCACCGTACACGGTCAAACCGCCGCTGCCAGGCATGTCTGGCGTCTCAAAGGCGCCGCTGGCACAACTGGCGCCTGAACCACCAGCAAAACCGCCGTGACCGGCGCCAGTGTTGCTGCTGCCGGGGCATGGGCCAAGCCCTGGCGGGAAGCCCTTGTTGTTGAGGTCAACAACGGACTGGGGCTGAAGAATCAACTCGCCAACACGCGCAGAAATCCGGTGAGCCACGATGCGAGCAGCGAAGCCAACATTCAGTTCACCCACAGCCAGCGTGACGTCCGTGGACTGATCGCCGTTGAAGGTCACTGTGGCGTGCTGCCCAAGCTGGAAGGCACCAAGCTTGAACTCGCTCGGCTGGCTGATGAATACATACCCTGTGCCGTCTTCGTACTTGGCAGTGCGCACTGTATCCGCAAAGGACAGGGTGCCGTGTGGCTTGACAAACACGCGCTGAGCATTGGTCAGCTGGCCAGCAAACGAGTTGCGGGGGCCAACGAACTGCACCGCTGGTGGCAGGCGAACCTCGCCCATTTCCGTCAGCACGAGGTTGGAGGCAATGCGAGCAATCACGTTGCGGCTCGTGGCAGCCTCCAGATGCATCGTCAGTTTGTCGTGCACCAGGATGGTGGTTGACTCATCGGACACCAGGTCAACAATGGTCAGCGTCAGCGTTGCTTGAGTGTCGTCTGTCGTCGACAGCTTGGCGCTGTCGGCCATGTGCACCTCGTCAAACGCATACGCCGTGGCCCCCGCACAGCCCGAGAGCCGCGTGTACGGGTCCGTGTCGCGCTTGGCGTTCTCCAGGAACAGCTGGCGGAACGGATAACCGGCGGGCTGCGACGTGACATACGCCGTGCCAGATGCGCCGTGTCCGAGGCGCCCGCTGCCACCTCGGGTGAGCAGGCTGCCCTGGAAGTGGTTGGTCTTTGCCACCTCAATCACAATGCGGCCACCGCTGCCCGCGCTGCCACAGGTGGAGCAGCGTGGCGTCGCCGCCAGCGACGGAGATGGTACCAACACCGTGCA